GTCCGGCTCATCTCTGTCCTGTTTGTATGAGCTGTGCCACTTGCGTCTGGCCTCAGCTGCGCTGACGCGTATTTCATGGAGACTTTTTTTCAAGGCCTCGTGCTGGGCTGCAAGTTTTGCCTGTTTCCTCTTCATTTCGTCCCGCTCGATCTGTGCCAGCCTCTCTGCCTGTGCGCACTCCCTCAGTCTGCTCTCCGCTGCCTCTTTGTGGGCTCTGAGTTGTTTATTTTCGTTCCGCAGCCGTTCCACGGTCTCCTCAAGGTCGGTCATTTTCAAGTCTGAGACATGGCGAGTAGCGCTGAGCTCCTGATAAATTGCTGCCCTGGCTGAGTCGGCTGCTGCGAGCTGTTCTGCGAAGTGAGACTTGAGATTATCATGCTCCCGCCTGAGGGTCTCCATCTCATCTTGCACTTCTGCCGCCTCTTTAGTTTTTCTGTCCAAATGCCGTTTGAGCTCCTCGAAGGCGTTGCTCTGCTCTTCTTCTCTCCTCTCTCTTAGCCTCATAAACCCTAGATAAACCCTAGATAAACCCTAGCTAAACCCTAGACAAACCCTAGGAAGGTAGAAGCCAATAAAGTAGGCGGCAGCAGCAGAGGAGGTCTGCTCTAAAACGGAAACAGCGGCAGTAGCAGCAGCAGCAGCAGCAGCAGCAGCAGCAAGAGAAGAAAACATTGACAGTTCAAATGAACCGACAAACAAGGGAAGGCTTTACTCAAATGCAAACAACAACGATGTGAGGGTTGCTGCCACAGCCGTAGCTGCTCCTGCAGCAGCAGCAGCTGCTGCTGCTGCTGCAGCAGCTGCAGCAGCTACAGCACAACAGCAACTCTGGCTGCGCCTGCGCAGGTCCAGAACTTATGCCAGTTGTGTGCACTTTCGGGCCATGCCCAAATTGCAATCTGCAGCAGCAGCAGCAGCAGCAGCAGCAGCAGCAGAAGCAGCAGCAGCAAGTAGCTTCTGATAAATGCTGCTATGCAATCACTGCAGCGAAAGCTGCTGCTGTGCTGCTTGCAGCAGCAGCAGCAACTCCTGCTGCACCTTCATCCTGCAGTCCGAAGGAAGGGGGGAAGGGAGAAACTTCTCCAGTTTGGGTGCTGCTGCTGCTGAAGCCTGGAACTTTGCTGCTGCTGCTGCAGTTCTGCATTTGCTGCTGCTGCTCAGATCTGTTCCTTGATGAACTGGACGGTGTTGCTGACGAGGATGGGGAAGTTTTGCTGCGTCAGGAAATCGAAATGCCTCAAAGGGAATTCTTTCAAAACCATTTTGCTGCTGCTTTGCTTCTTCTGGTGTCTAGACACCAGATCTCGAATGGCCTCGATGGGGCACACGGTGTCTATGGACCCGGCGATCAGCAGGGTGGGGATTTCGAGGAATTCGGCGGCCAAGTCTGCGGAAAAAAACGCAAAAACAACCAAATAATCATTTGATTCAATTTAAATAGACTAATTTCCACTTCTTTGTTTAGTTTCGCGAGGATCGGCGGCAGTTCAAGTTCGCGCGGCCGCCCGCGCCGGCAGGTGTCTGTACACCTGAAGGCCGCGCGGAATTCAAATTCAAGTTTCGGCTAATCTGCATTTCTGGCGGTCATTCCTTTTGAAAATGAACAAAACTTGGCGCATAAATGATAATTAATTTCGGAAATGTCGAAAAAGAAGGAGAAAAGAAGAAGTTTTCCGGAAAAACTTTCAGCTTTCCACTTTTTCGCGCACCTTCCACTTCGAACCGCGAAAGCCAAAAGAGCGATCTCGCCGCCAATTTGTTTTCCCAGGCCCCGTCGACCACTTGGCCTTTCAAAGGAGTTCGAGAGGCCCAAATTTGGTGTTCGTTGCTCTCCAGCTGCATCGCACTGATGCCGCTGCTGCTGCTGCTGCTGCTGCTGCTGCTGCGCGCCAGAGGGATGTACACCGCACTCTCAGCTGTAAAGACACTCCGCACCAGGTCCTGCACCACTGCGAGGCCCACGCGCGCCGTCTCCAGCAGCCCGCGCTCCTGCAGCAGCAGCAGCAGCAGCAGCAGACGCAGCACAGGAAGCAGGCTTAAGGCAGCAGCACAAGGCTTCGCATGCAATAAATTGCGGAGAACTGGCGTTTTTCTCTCTGTGCTGCTGCTGCTGCTGTGCAGCAGCAGCAGCAGCAAACTGCGGCAAAATGCGGAAAACGAATGAAACAAAGCCAAATCGACTGGAGAACATCACCCAAAACGCCTGCCACTGCGACAGCCGCCGCTGCTGCTGCTGCTGCTGCTGCTGCTGACCTGGAGGGCCTTGCTGCTGGTTTTGCTGCCGCTGACGAAGGGAATGGCAGCAACAACAGCTTTGATGCTGCTGCTGAGGGGGTCTTTGCGTCTGCAGAGTTCTGCTGCAGCAGCTAAGACGACGCCGCCGCCGAGCGAGGCCCCGTAGAGTGCCATTTTGCTGCTGTCCAGTTTGCTGCTGAGGGGCCCCGGGGCCCCCAAGTGCTGCAGCAAAGCTGTCAAGTCCTCCACTTGCTGCTGCGGCACTGCAGCATGTCTTGGGAGGCCCTCGGAGACTCCCCAGTGTCTGTAGTCAAACAGAACTGCAGCAAAACCTTCCCTCGCCAGCGCCAGCGCCAGCGGCACCATCGCTATGTCCTGCAGCAGCAGCAGCAGCACCAGCAGCAGCAGCAGCAGCAGCAGCAGCAGCGGGGGGCGGTTGGGAAGCGGGGGAGAGAAGCCGCGCGCCGCAGTCCGCCCGCCGCCAACAGACCCGCACGCGCTGCAGCAGCACTCCCAGCAGCAGCAACAGCAAAAACAACGGCAGCAGCAGCAACAGCAGCAGCAGCAACAGCAGCAGCCGCAGCAGCAGCCGCAGCAGCAACAGCAGCAGCACCTTCTGGACACCCAAGCCGTAAGCAGCAACGACAGCAGGGGGCGGCTTCGCGAGGGGCTGCGGGGGGACGAAGAGCCAGCAGTGGAGGCGTTTGCCGTGGGACAGCACGGAGAAGGTGATGCGCTCCACTCCCTCCACCTGCAGCAGCAGCAGCAGCAGCAGCAGCAGCAGCAGTGGTGGTGGGGGAGCTCGAGGGGTCCAGGCAGCACGTGGAAGCAAAAAAAAAGGAAAAAAACGGGAAAAAAGGGGGGAAAATGAGGAAAATCGAGGCAGTGCCGCTGCTGCTGCTGCTGCTGCAGACTGCCGCAGCAACACACAGCCCAGAGAAGACGCTTCGAATGAGCTGCGGAGCCTTTTGCTGCCACGAAGCGAAAACTGTAACAAGAACAGCAGCAGCAGCAGCAGCAGCAGCAGCAGCGAAGGCACCGCGGCGGTGCCGCAGCTGTTTCGGCTGCGGCGGGGGGCGTTCTGTGCGAATCTGTAGCAAAAAGAAATAGCAAAAATGAATTTGAAAAATAAAAAGAATTACTTTTGTGATGGTCCCGTCGGGGTCTTGCGGAAGCTTGTGTTGCATCGGAGCTGTAGTGACACCCGGATCGAGGCGGAGCGCCAGCAGCAGCGCCAGCAGCGCCGCGAGCGCCGCTGCCACAAATTTAAATCCCATTTTAATTTAAATATTGATTTAAACCTTTATTTATTCTTTTATTTCTTTCTATTTCCTTTTTCAGCTTCTCCCCGCAGCAAAAATGCATGCGCTAAGACACTTCGGGGCTGCGCCGAGGGGGCGGCGCCGCAGAGTTCGGGTGTACATACACCTCAGCTTCTACGCTTTCTTTTTCTTCATTTCATTTTGCTTCACTTCCTCCGTTTGCTGATGGCCTCGAGAAGAGCTGAATCAAATTAAATTAATTAAATTTAATTATATTAATTTAATTAAATCAAATTCATTAAATTAAATGGTTTTTTCTGAAATGAGAAGTACCCTCGGAAACTCCAGCTGTCCAGACACCCCAACAGTCGACTGCGGTCGCAGGGCGAAGGCAGGCGCAGCACCTTCGGCTTTTGCTGCTGCTGCTGCTGCTGCTCGTGCTGCTGCTGCTGCTTTGCTGCTGCTGCTGCTCGTGCTGCTGCTGCTGCTTTGCTGCTGCTGCTGCTCGTGCCGCTGCTACTGCTGCTGCACTGACGAACTACGGCTTCGAGGTTTGAGGGCTGGGCCCGAATTTTGTGCTGCTGCTGCTGCTGCTGCCGCTGCCAGTTTTGCTGCTCCTAACAAGTTATTGGACTATTTAACAAGTAAATTAAAAGTGAAATAACTTCAAAATGAAATTAAATAATAAATTAATTTTCTTCTGTCCATTTGCTTCAGCAGCAGCTGCTGCTGCTGCTTCCCCAAGTGCACCTAAAAATTCCAAGAAGATCCGAAAGCAGCAGAAGACACGAAAAGCACAAACGCCACTTCCCATTTGCTGCAGCAGCAGCAGCAGCAGCAGCAAATGCCGCTGCTGCTGCTGCTGCTGCCCTGCTGGCAGCGCTGCACCTCCACGGCAAAGGCAAGTGCTGCTGCTGCTGCTGCTGCAGCTGCAGCACCGGCATGTCTGCTGCTGCTGCAGCTGCAGCACGGGCACGGCTGCTGCTGCTGCGCAGGAGGCGAAGCTGCTGCCGCTCCCTGCCTGACGCTGCAGCCAAGGCGACACTGCTGCTGCTGCTGCTAAATAACAAATTCTGCTGCTGCTAGCAGCAAGCACTGCTGCTGCAACTAAATAGTAATATCTGATGCTGATAACAGCAGGAAATGTGCTGTAGATGCTCATGCAGGCGGAGCTACTGCTGCTGCTGCATCTGCATCTGCTGCTGCTGCATCTGCATCTGCTGCTGCTGCTGCATCTGCTGCTGCTGCTGCTGCTGCTGCTGCTTCACGCAAGACATTTGCTGCGCCATGTTGTGTCATCGTCTGCGTCGGAGTCTGCGTCGCTGGACTCCTCTTCTGCTGCTGCCTCCATTTGCTGCTGCTTCTCTTCCTTCACTGCTGCTGCTGCTGCTGCTGCAGCAGCAGCGCTGCCGCCCTGGTCAGCCGGCTCGGTCTTGCACTGCTTCGGCTGCTGCTGCTGCTGCTGCTGCTGCTTGAGGGCGAGGGCGCGCTGCTTGAGGGCGTGGAGCTGCTTCTCGATTTGCTGCTGCTCGGCCTGCAGCAGCAGCACTTGGCCCACAAAAGCTTTTATGTCTTGCTGCACTTGTGCTGCTTCTTGTTTGCCTTCTTTAATATCTGCTACTAGCTGCCGCTTCTTTTCATTTAGCTGCTGCTGCTGCCGCAGCAGCTCCGAAGGCCCCACTTCCCCTCTTGCTGCTGCGTCTTTGTCGAAGTCGTCGAAGAAGCCCCACGGCAGCTCGCCCTGCTGCTGCTGCTGCTGCTGCTGCTGCTGCTGGGCCTTGCGCTTCCTCTTCCCCTTCGCTGCAGCTTCTGCTGCTGCTGCTGCTGCTGCTGCTGCTTCGCTCCGCAGCCGCGCCACCTCCTGCGCCCGACGCTCCTGCTGCTGTATGCGCTCCTCCTCCACCAGAACCTCGCTGCAGCAAAAGCAAACACACACCCTTTGCTGCTGCTGCTGCTGCTGCTGTTGCTGCTGCTGCTGCGGGTTTTGCTGCTGCTGCTGCGGGTTTTGCTGCTGCTGCTGCTGCTGCGCTTTCAGCAAGCCCGCTGGTGACCAGAGAACAGCAGAGAGGCCCTAGGGAGCACTGCGAAGGATTAGGGTGTAGGGTTTAGGGTTTAGGGTTTAGGGTTTAGGGTTTAGGGTTTAGGTTACCTGTGGAGGGCCGTCGAGAAGGGACTGTACCAGCGCGACTCATCAATAGCCGTGGAAAGCTCTAAGCTGCTCACGATGAAAGAAGTTGCTGCTGCTGCTGCTGCGTCCTCCTCTGCTGCTGCTGCTGCTGCTGCCTGCTGGGGCTCTTCTTTTGCTGCAGCTGCTGCTGCAGGAGCTGCTGCGGCGGCAGCGGCTGTATCCGCTGCTGCAGGTCCAGCTGCTGCTCCGGCTGCCGCATCCGCTGCTGCAGACGCTGCTTCTGCCGCTCCTGCTGCTGCTGCTTCTCCTGCTGCTGCTGCTTCAGCAGGAGCAGCAGCAGCAGCAGCAGCACCTGCTTCTGTATCTTCTGTCACATCGGCCACCAGCGGCTGCAGCAGCGACTCATCTGGCTCTTCAATTTCGTAGCCCAGCACTTCCTCGCTGTCGTCCTCCTCTGCTGCTGCTGCTGCTGCTGCTGCTGCTGCTTCGGGCGTTGGGGGTTCGCTGTCTTGCTGCTGCGCAGCACGAGCTGCCTCTTCGGGATCATCAAAGAAGTCTGGAGGAAGTCCATCAATTCCATTAAATTCATTTTTTTCTTTTTCTTCTTTTTCTTCTTTTTCTTTTTTTTCTGAAAGTTCTTCTTCCTCATCGCTGTATCCCTGCAGCACCTGAGACGGAGCTTCTGGCTGCTTGGGAGCAGCAGCAGCAGCAGCAGCTGCTGCTGCTGCTGCTGCTGCTGCTTCGGCTTCTGCTGCTGCTGCTGCCTCTGCTGCTGCTTTTGCTGCTGCTGCTGCCTTCGCCCGCTCAGCTGCTTCCCGCTGCTGCTGCCGCCGCAGCTTCTCCTGCCGCATCAGCTCCCTGACGGAGGGCATTGTGGGGTGTCTGGGGTGTACGTACACCTGAAGAGGCGCAGCAGCAGACTGCAGCGCAGCAGCAAGTCGGGCCAAACGGCCATCGCCTGGAGGAGTATTAGATGAAGAGCAGCAGCAAATTCAACTTTAAATTGCTGCTGCAGCTTGCTACAAATAATATTTGAAAAGAAACCGCTGCTGCAGGGCCCCGGGGCTGGCCTGCATGCATGCGCTGCTGCATGCGGCAGCAGCAGCAGCAGCAAAGAACAGCAGCAAAGAAGAAGACAAAAGACCTTCTGGACCTCCAGAAAACTTCGCAGCGGGATAGAGTGTATGCACACCCCAGGAGCTGTGGAAGACAGCAACACACGGCGTGAGGCTCCCGCAGAGCAGCTCTCTTCACTTTTGCATTTTGCAGATATTTCTGTCTTCCTTTTTTCGATTTTTTGCAGTACTTAAATTTATTTTGCAAAATAAATTCAAGTCTTGCGAAGTTTCCGGCTGAGGGCTCGCGAGGGGCTGCTTTTCTGCGGGTTTCCGGCGAGCTGCCGGGAGGCGTTCAGGTTCGTGTTCTGCGGGTGTCTGTGAAGCTTTTTTTCGAATTTTCAGGCGCTAATTGGCGAAGAAGTCATTTAAACTTGAATTTAAATTAAAATGGAACTTGTTTACGCTGTGGGGAGCCCCGAAGGGGCCGCGTGCGCCTTGGTAGCTTCTTACGCGTTTCCGCCGGGGTCGATGGTGATCAGCGCGCTGGGGGCGAACGCGGCGAAAGCAGCGGGCCAGGTGGGGTGGTCGGTTTATTTTTTCTGCAAATTGAAATTAATTCATCTTTTTAAAATCATATTCAAATTTGTGGCGCGTTTCCCCCGTCGGAAAGCCGCGATCTGCCGCCTGCGCCCCGGGTGTACAGACACCTCGCCTCTACACCCCCGACGGCGAACTCCACGAACCCGTCACTATCATTCATTATCTTTGCGACAAGTCGGATTCACGCGAAGTTCTTCTTGGTCCAGAAAAGAATATTCAGGCCCAGGTTTGCAATTTTGCAAATTATTTCCAAACTCCCTCCCCGACTTGAAACTCCAACTCAAGCTTCTTCCCGTTTTCTGCAGCGCCGCCTTTTTTCCACTTTTAATGATCAGCAAAATAGTTTCGCACTTTTACTCAGAAGTTTCTGGGAGAATAAACCCTTGTTTCCGCTGCTGCTGCTGCTGCTGCAGGCGGAAGTGGACCAGTGGTTCTCTTTCTGCGCCTCGCGCTGCTTCCAGATTGCCAGCAGCAACGACTTCAACGAATTCAACACTGCGCTGCAGCTGCGGACTTTTCTTTGTGGAAATAATCTGTCTTTGGCGGATCTCGTGGCCATGGCTTCTTTGTACAGTGCCATGGTGAGTATATTTGCTGCTGCTGCTGCAGCGTGAGCGTCATCAGCAGCGGCGCAGCAGCAGCAGCGGGAGGCCGCGCGCACCTCTGTCGTTTCCTCCGCCTCCCACACGCCCTTTGCTGCCGCTGCTGCTGCTGCTGCTGCTGCTGTGCAGAGAAGAGCCTCTTTGAAGGAACTTCAAGTTTATAAAAATGTCACGAGATGGTTCAGCCACATGCAGAATCTGCCAGGTGGGTTTGGCTTGCGGTGTACGTACACCTCAGCCCCTGGCCTCGCCACGGCTGGGACCCACAGCTGCAGCAATTCCTTTCTCTTTGCTGCTGCAGCTGCCTTTTATTTAGCTGCAGCAGCAGCAGCAGCAGCTGCAGCAGCAGCTGTGGAGTTGTTTTGTCTTTGTTTTCAGGAATTAAAGAGCAGCGGGTGCAGGACTTCAGCAAAATAGAACTGCCCACAGTGAGTTTAATTTATTTTTATTTTTAATTTTTTATTCAATAAAACTGCTTTAATTTTATTTCCAAACTTTTAATTTAGTCAGAACGCTGCAGCAGCAGCAGCAGCAGCAAAGACACCACTTGCTGCTGCTGCTTTTTACTTTTATTCTTGCTGCAGTCCTCCCCAGACGAGCTGCTGCAGGCGGCGAAGGCATTGGGGCCTTCGGGGAAGGAGGAGCAGCAAGGCAAGCAGCAGAAGCAGCAGCAGAAGCAGCAGCAGCAGCAGCAGAAGCAGCAGCAGCAGCAGCAAGAGGGCGGCAAGGCGGGAATTGAGAAGCGGGGAGACGCAGCGAGCCCGCAGTCCGCCGCGGAAGACAAGAAGAAGAAAGGAGCAGCAGCAACAGCAGCAACAGCAGCAGCAGCAACAGCAGCAACAGCAGCAGCAGCAGCAGAAAGGCCAGTGGATGACCCCATGCGTCTGGACATGCGAGTGGGTTTGGTGCGGAAGGTGTGGAGACACCCGGAGGCGGACAAGTAAGTGGGCAGATTTTGAAAGGCAAATAATTCCATTTTTTGATTAATTGTGAATAATAAATGCAATTATTTTGATTTAAAATAATTATAAATGGTGGATAAAATTGATTTATTTCAAAATGATTCAAAAAGCTGAAAATTATTCCCCGAAATGCTCCCAGCAGCCCCGGAAGCCTGTTCTGCAAGACAGATCCGATCTTCTTCATTTTGCGTCTTTTCCGGATTTTTGAAAAGCCCTGAGGATTCTTTTTGTTTTCATTTATTTATTTTTGCATTTCTGAAGTTTTAAAATCAAAAATAAAAAAATAAAAATAATTCAAAACTGTTTCGCCGCGAGCGCGGACGACTGGGGTGTCACTGTCGGCAGCAGCAGCAGCAGCAGCCGCCAGCCGCTGCTGCTGCTGCGATCTCTGCGATCTTGGTTGGTTTTCTTTCTTTTTTCTTTCTTTTCTCGCGTTTAATGGTTCATTTTACGATTTAAAGTCGATTTAAATCTTTAAATTTTCGAATTTCGCGTTTTTTGCTCGGAGGCTGTACTGCGAGGAGATCGACTTCGGGCCGCTGGGCGTGCGCCAGATTGCCTCGGGGCTGGTGCAGCACCTGCAGCAGCAGCAATTCGAGCAGCAAAAAGTAATTGTGCTTTTTAATTTAAAACAAAAAGCCCTTCGAGGTTTTAATTCCCACGGAATGGTCTTATGCGCAAACTCGGCGGACAAGACCGCCGTGCAGCTCCTCCAGCCCCACCCCGACACCCCTGTGAGTCCTGCTGCTGCTGCTGTGCTGCTGCTGCTGTGCTGCTGCTGCTGTGCTGCTGCTGCAGCGCCTCGCTGCTGTGCTGCTGCTGATGGTGGTGGTGATGATAGTATTGGTGCTGCTGGTGCTGCTGCTGATAATGTTGCTGCTGCTGCTGCTGCTGCTGTAGCTCTTGGTTGCTTCTCTCGTTTAAGGCTTAATTTCAAATTATATAAAAGTATGCAAATGTGTTTTTTAATTAATTTAAGTTTGCTGCTTCATTTAATGGCATTTGTTTTTAATTTGTTGAAAATAAACTGGAATTTGATAAATGCTTTATTGAATTTCAAATCAAATCCCAACTTCACATTTAATTTGCTGCTGCTGCTGCTGCTGCAGTTGGGAGAGCGCGTTTATATTGAGGGCCTTTCTGGGGAGCCAGATGAAGTGCTGAGCAGCAAAAAGGGAAAGGACACATTTGCTGCTGTGGCTCCAGTAAGTTCTTTTCTTTCAAAACAACTCAACTTGCTGCTGCTGCTGCTGCTTCAGCAGCAGCAGCAAGCGCTGGGGCATTGGGATTCAATTTAATTTCATTTGGATGTCTTTTGCTTTTCTGCTGCTGCAGTTCCTCAACACAAAAGATGACTGCATTGCCTACTTCAAGGTGCAGCAGCAAAAAGTGCAACAGCAGCAGCAGGAGCTGAGGAAACAATGAGCTGCTCCCGCTTGCTGCTGCTGTTCTCTGCTGCTGCTGCTGTCCGCTGCTGCCGCTGCTGCTACTGCTGCTAAGTGCTATTTATTTTGTTTGTTTTTTTGCTTCAGGACTTACCTCTTGTCACCCCACAGGGCCCAGTGCGCTGCAGCAGCATCAAAGGCGGCTTGATTTCCTGAAGTTCAAATTCTGCAAATTGGAATTTAATTGCTGCTGCTGCAGCGAGGAGAAGAAGAAAACCTTTTTGATTATTAAATTGTTTTATTTTTGATTTAAATTGAAAAGAAAACAATTTAAATTCAAAAAGAAGAGAGCTCTTTTCCCAAATCCAGTTGCTTCCCTCGGTGTCCAGGGAGCAGCAGTTCAACACTGGAAAGCAGCAGCAGCAGCTGCTGCTGCTCTTTCATTTCGGAGTTGAAATATTTCAATTTCAATTTTAATTATTTATTTTAATTTATATTTGCAAAAGCAGCTTATTAATTCTGAGTTTCCACTTCAGATCTTAGGCGGGAGTTTCTACAGGCCGGCGGTTTGGAGTGTACGTACACCTCAGGAATGCGCGCCGCAGTTTTCAGATTTCCGTTTCGCCACAATTAACAATTTGGATTCAAAAAAAGCAGAAAAGTTTTTATTTTTGCTTTTTATGATAAAGTTTCTCATTTTAAACTCCATTTCGCGCTATTTCCTCTTTAGCTTCGCCCTTTTCAGCTTCCGACCTCTCAACTTGAACAGTGAGCCTTTGCACCTGCTGCTGCTGCTGCTGCTGCGCAGCAATTAGCTGATTTCGTTTTCCAGTGTCAGCAGCAAGCGTGGAACTTGAGAAGTACTTGGATCTGGCGCGGAGTTGCATTCCGGCGAGTTGGGCAGCAGCAGAATCGGATTTGACAGAATGGTAATTTTGATTTATTAAAGTTGAAATAAATGTTTTGAATTCTAGTTCAGGTGTATCGACATCGTGGAGGCCCTCGCCGGCCAGCAGCAGCAAACAGAAACTTCAGGTCTTCTCACTTTTAAAAAAGTCAAAAAACAAAAAGCGGAAAACAAAAGCAGCAAAGGCAAACGCCCTTCCAACAAGAGACGCAAGTGCAAAACACAGAAAGACAGCAGCAGCAGCAGCAGCAGCAAGAGCAACAGCAGCAGCAGCACCAGCGGCCATAGCAGCAGCACCAACAGCAGCAAGACCAGCAGCAACGACACCAACAGCAGCAACGCCAACAGCAACAGCAGCGACGGCAGCAGCAGCAACAGCAGCAACAGCAACACCGACAGCAGCAACACCAACAGCAGCAACACCAACAGCAGCGACGGCAGCAGCAGCAACAGCAATAACAGCAACGGCAGCGACGGCAGCAGCAGCAGCAGCAACAGCAGGGACGGCAGCAGCAGCAACATAAGTAACAGCAGTAGCAGCGACGGCCGCAGCAACGACGGCAGCAACACCAACAACAACAGCAGCAACACCGACAGCAAGATCAACAGCAGCGACGCCAACAGCAGCGACGGCCGCAGCAGCAACAGCAACAGCAGCGACGGCAGCAGCAGCAACAGCAGCAACAGCAGCAGCAGCGACGGCAGCAGCGGCAACAGCAGCGATGGCCGCAGCAGCGGCGACGGCAGCAGCAGCAACAGCAGCAGCAGCGGGGGCGGAAAAGAAGCAAAAGACCTTCTGGAAATAAAAAAATAATATCTTCAAAAGGATTTTTTCTTTTTCAATTTAAAAAGACCCCCAAGAATTGGCAGTTCTGCTGCTGTTCAAACTGGATTTGCTGCTCGCCTGCAGCAGCAGCAAATGGAAGTCTGCAGCAGAAGCAAACTGCTGCTGCAGAGGGCCTTGGGAGGCTTTGTGAATTTGCTGCTGAGGCCATTCACTATTTGCTGCAGAGCTGCCCCACTCGGAGGACTGCTGCTGCAGCGCAAGCAGCAGCAGCAGCAGCAGCTGCTGCTGCTGCTGCAGCGTGCTGCGCTGCTGACTGGAAGGTGCTTCTGTGCAGCAGCAGAGCAGCAAACTGGAACCAAGCAACTGGAGAGTAATCGAAATTCAATTAAAAATGTTTTTTGAAAAGTTTCTAAGCCTTAAACCCTAAAAGGTAGTTTCAGTTGAGGAGAAGAGGATTTGTTTCTGCTGCTAAAGCAGCAGCAGCGGCAGTAGCAGCAGCAGTAGTAGCAGAAGCAGCAGCAGCAGCAGTAGTAGCAGAAGCAGCAGCAGCAGCAGCAAAAAGGCCAATGGTGGTTAACAGACGAAAACTGCAAGTGTACAGACACTTGGGCTTATGCGATTGCATGCGCAAAGATTAAAATAAATGGCATCAGAAAGTGAAAAGTAAAAATTTTAAAATAATTAAACAATTTAATTTATTTCTATTTTATGTTTTATTTTTCTTTTCAAATGCAGTGTTGGCAGCAAATGGCAGCTGTTGATGCCTGCGTTCAACTTTTCACGTTTTGATAATCTCTTTTTATCTTCTGTGTCTCACTGTGAGTTAAGATGCATCTTTTTTGGAATAAAAATAAACAAAAGTCTTTTAAAAACAATTTGTTTTCTATTTTGAAATTAAATGCCTTTCTTTTACTCCGGATTCGGCGTTGGACATTTTGTGGAAGCTGGCGGCGGTCAGGCTGTGGTGTATTTACAGCTGGGAACGAGCGCGGCGGTGGAGCTAGGAAGCGGAGTTTGAAAGGTAATTTGAATTAATTTTTTGTATTTTTGAATGAAGTTTGAATATGATTTGAAGAAGTGCAAAATAAAAGAGAATGTGGGGGGAAAAGGAGAAAAAGGCGCGGCGAGTCGCTGAATCGGCGAGTTGAATGGAGTTGAAGTTGGGACCAGCTCAGAGGCGGGGGGGCTGATCTGGAGTTTGCGGGAGTTGAAACTGCAGACAAAAGACTAAAAGAGTTAATTAATTGCTTTTGGATATTAATTAATGGCTTTGCGGCATTAACTTGGCATTTCCGCGCAGCTTTCCGGATTTCAGGAACTGGCGGGCGCATGCAGCGGGAGCCGCGGAGAGCTGACGGTGTACAGACAGGGCGGCAGCCTCTGGAGGCGCTCTCCAAGGGCAAAAGGATTCTTTTCGAAAAGGCTTTCCGACTGCAACCCAGCTTGAGCGGAGCAGCACTCCGCGGCGCAGCTCGGCGCGGCTTGCTGCTGCTGCTGCTGCTGCTGCTGCTGCAGGGTCGGCGGCGGGGTGCTGCTGCTGCGGTGCTGCTGCTGCGGCGCGGGAGTTCGAAGCGCTTCCCGGACCCGACTTGGCGCGCGGGTCCGCCCGCGGAAGGCCCGGGAGGCCCCGGAGCGAAACCCCGTTTTAGGGTTTGGCGCGAAACCCTGTTTCAGGGTTTGGCGCGGAGGCCCCGCAATGCCGTTTCCGGCGGCGAAGCTGCTCAGCGTGGCGCTGCGGCAGCTCTCCAGGCCCGTGGCCGCGTGGCTGCAGCGCGCTGCAGCAGACAGCCCCAGGTTCAAACTTGCATGCGTTGCTGCTGCCAACTGCTGCTGCAGCTTCGAGCAGCAAGTTCTCCACAGCTTCTACCGCAGGGCCTTCGCCCCCAAATTCCTCCCCAGGCTTTCTGAGGACAAGGCCGTGCGCCTGGGCGCCTCGCTAATTGGCGAGGCTTTCGTCTTCGCCGTCGCCGGTCGGCGTTTTTGTTTTTTTTGTTTGCTTTATTTGCTTTATTAGCTTTTATTTGCTTTTGTTGCCGTTTGTTTCCCTTCATTTGCTTCTATTTCCCTTCGTTTGCTTTTGTTTCCCTTCATTTCCACTTATTTCCATTTATTTACCTTCATTTCCACTTATTTCCATTTATTTACCTTCATTTCCATTTATTTCCATTTATTTCCATTTATTTCCTTTTTTCCCGTTTTCCCATTTATTTCCCTTCATTTCCGTTTTTCCCCATTTATTTCCCTTATTTCCCGGTTTTTTTCATTTCTTTCCGGTTTTTTTTCATTTGCTTCCGGTTTTTTCCATTCATTTCCTCTTATTTCCTCTTATTTCCTTTTATTTCCTCTTATTTCCTTTTTTTTCCTTTTTTTCTTCGAAATCCAAAAAATC